AGGGGGAGAAACTCCAGAAGATCTGAGAGAGAGAAGAGAGAGGGACAAAATAGTCTTTTCCTTTGGATGTATGCAGTATGTCACTTTCCTGTGGGCCCAGCGCGTGGTTAATGCGTGGTGGGTAGGCGACGGGACGGGCTTGGATGGACAATTTCGAAAAAATTGGGGGGGTTGTATAAAAATTCAATAATATTCTACATTTGCATTTATTTCCTGTGAAAATTGCATAAAGTCTAAAAAAAAAGGAAAAGGAAAAAAGAAAAAGCATTAAATGTTTTTCTTTTCTGAAAAAGGAGCGTTAATTACGACTTTGTCCATGTCCATGGGACGTATAATTTCTAGTGCCAGCCAGCCGTTGTTGGATTGTTTTATGGACCCGCTCACATGACAGCAACTATTGAAAATTGTATCCACACTACAATTTAATTTTCACTCTCGTTTGTTTTATGTCAAGCGAAAACAAATTTAGAGAATTCATTGATACAATATTACAAATTAAGAAATTTTAGACAATTTTTAAAATTCATGGAAGTTATTAGACACAATTTTGGAAATTGGGAGATTGAATGTCATACTCTATCATTAAAACACATTTTCATTTATAGAATGTAAATATGAAATAAAGATAACTAGTTGAAGAAATAAGATTTGTTATTTAAGATTTTTTCAACATGTCGGGTGAGGATTAGAATTTACAAGGTTAAAGATATATGTCAATTAGGACTATGCTTAAAGAACTTGCTAGAATTAATTTTTGCTAGTGATAACCTGGGATAAAATGAATTAGACTTCCAATAGATAAGAGGGAAGGGAGAGGGAGAAGGAAGGATGAGGGACACTTTTATATATATTTGGGACAAAAATTTATTTATTTTTTAGTACAATAAATAGGGGTAGAAATTCGAACTCAGTCAGACATAAGTGTCTTATCCAATTGAGCTATGTTCAAGTTTATTATTCGATACCAAACTTTTTATGTAAGAACTAGTTGGTATAGTCTATACTATTCCTATAGGAAGTATTTTACAACGTCCACACGTACTAACTGGACGTGCTCGGCTGACCAATTCCAATATAATATCAATTAAGTGAAATTTGAGCTCAAATATTCATTCATCATTTTGATATATGTTTTAAATAAAAAAAATATCTGAGTACTTACCGAACGACGTGAACATAACTTGGGAAAAGCATACAACTCCTTAAAATCATGAATTTAAATTTTCGCACCCACCTTTGTCTCTTAAAGTTTTCTCGTCTCCAAACTTCTCCTTCCATTTTAAAATTAAGATCTAAGTCTTCCYAACGTTACTTAAAATAAATGTAAAATATATTAAATATTACTCTCAATTTAACTAGATACTATTATCGTCAACCTTAAAAAAAATATATATGATGGTGTGTTTTAGCGACTAAACCAAGCACGACGCATGATGTACATTATATTATAGTTATGATATTACATTTGAAATATTCTACTGAT